AGAGCAGATTCTGAATAACTAGTAAAGCACCAGTCTTAAATGAGTCAACTGATCAATGCCCCACGAAGTCCTGCCTAAGCTGACTGAAGCAGAGCCTTCCAAAGCTCACTGAACCTCACTGCAAACAGTGGGACATCTTGCCGCTGTTAAATCACAAAATACTTTACCTGAGCCAGTCAGTCCCTAAAAAGTTTTATCAAAAGTCATTGCACATGAACAGCAGAGAAGTTACAAGTAAACTGGCAGATGTTATGTGATGTTTGGAAGTAGGCAGAGGTCTTGAAAGACAGACTTACAGTGGTCACTGTGATAACAGCACAGCAGTGGTTACATGCTGGTCTTAAAAACACTACTACCACAAAGTATTTTAGGAGTTGGTATTCCACCAGTAAAATAAATTTTGGTTCCTTCATTCTAAAAGGACCTGTGTCTTTGCTCATGATAAATAGAGAAGACAAAAAAGGATGGCATAGCATAAGCTGCTATCTCTATCAGAGTCCTTGCAAACACTGCTTTAGTACAGTGACATAACAAACCCAGTGATGGCTACTGCAATCCTAGAAAGAAGTTAAACTTGCTGATAGCAATCAACTGCTTAAGAAAAGATGTCAAGACTGAAAAAAAATGCCTGTGTTGCATCAAGCAGTATAAATATTTGCCTTACCTAGAGTATATGCATGTATTCCTGTCAGTAAGTAGAAGCATAAGAGTGAAATGTGGCTGATGCATGATGCTCGTGATATTCTCATAGTAGTTCCTCTATTCTGTGGTTTTCAACTTCTTTTGATATACAGGTCCCTATAAAATTTTAGGTGGTAGTTGGGGTCCTCAGCATGCTAACAGGAGGTCTGCTAGTCTTGGTTGCTTTTCTGGGATCCCTCAGAAGCAGCCTGCAGACCTACAGAATTAATAGTTTGGATCACAAATAGCAGATTTTGCTTGAAGAATAGATATTTTCTCTCCCTCTCTCTCCTTTTCTTTTATGTATAATAAATCTTTTTTCCTTTTATACATAATACTAAGTACATACATGTAACAGATTGCTCTGCTCTCTAAGAATAGTTCTGTTTGTCTTCAGATGGGAGGCCAGCACGGGAACATATGTGGGAACTATGGAAGTGAAAGCATTTCTGAGGTGCTTTTTGTCCTTTGTTTTTTGGGTTTGTTTTGTTTTGGTTTTTTTTGTTTTTTTTAAAGGATATTAAGGTAAAAAAGGAAATATGTGGACTCGGATAAAACCTTTTAGATTCTCACCAGCTCTTTTCCTGCTTTCAGCAGACACAAAGCCAAGCCAAACATTACAGCTCATGTCTCTTCCCCTCCCATATGACAGCTCTGCAGCAGTTTGTTTGGGCACTCCTGCATTTCACCCTGATATGGTACTTATTGCTTATGTTTAGAAATTGTAAAGGTTTCCAGGTCTCCTTTGCTTCCAGCCACAAACTGTTTGCTATTAAAAATAAAAATAAGCTTTCCTACAGAAGCCACAGTACAACAAGTTATACCAGAGAATGTGATTCTGACTTTATTAGGACAACTGCCTCAGAGGGACTCAGTACACATGAAGCTGTTTTTCTAATTGGCTGATAGTGATGCCATGTCCATACCAGCACTGCTCACTAAGCAGGATGGAACTAACTGCTTTCCCTATTTTTAATCTTAACTTCACGGTTGTGAAGCTGGAAACGTGTTCCAGGCTTGCACCTCAGCGTAACCATTGCACTACTGTGGAAGTCTTAAGACACTGTCCTTTAAGTTTTTGACTCCTGTTATCAACAAGAGCTCCAACAAATCACCTCTTATGCTGGAGGAGTAATTTCAGTGCATCTGCGTTAACACAGATACAACAAAATAGGCACAGTCTAAAGACATATGTCCCATTAATCAGGACAATGTTGCAAGTTGAATACTACTTTGTGTTATGTTTTCCCCACCTCTTGCACCCCACTCTACCACCCAAACATTCACTTTACACCAGTGTTTCAGGTGACTGACACTTCCTAAGAAAAAGCAATAGAAGATCTAAATCCAGGGAACTGGCAATTTAAGTCTCTCAGTCCACAGTCCATTACATCCAGATGTCAGGACAACATATGTTTAATTTCTTACTCTTGTTTCTATTTTACTCTTTCACCACAGGAGCAAAGTGGCACTAGGCCTGCACTGCTCAGATTTATCCTGAAGTTCAAACCCAACCTACTTTCATTCCAGGATTACTGCTTTGTGTTCAAGATTTGCCAAGCCAGGAGACAAACCTGCAAAAGCAGGTCATTCTATGCAGCACAACCTGAGCGGCACGTTAATATAGCAGTTCTGCAGACATCCTATTTCATGCAGGTTGTGAAGTCAGTTATGCCCACAGGTCAAATACAGAGGCTTTAGTCACTGCAATTAGTCACTCCCTAGAACTCTGCATTCTTGATGTAAACGCCCGAAGCCCTTGGAACCCGCGAGCAACACGTCAGAGATCATGGAAATTACAGGAGGCAAAGCAAGGGCAGGCAAGAATTATTTGCCAAGTTTCCAGGGTATTTGTATGCCTTGTTGGCTATTTTGCAAGTCTGCAGTATCCTGCATGTTTTATCTCGAGGCAGCTGATTGCTGACTCAGAGGCTCTGTAAATTCCTTGGCTGGAGTGTCAGGAGAGAAAGACAAAGCCCGTGAAAAAACGCATGCAGGAACAGTGTTCGTGTTGCTATTTACAATAATAGCATGAGGTTGTCACTGACTCATGACTGCAAGTACACTCAGGATCTCCAGCGCTTGCCCAGGACAAAAGAAACCAATGCAAAGCAGAGACACAAGCAATGAGTAATTCCAGGTGGTAGTTCCTTCCCACAGTCACCACGGATGCAGGAATATGAATATTTTACCAAATGCATATACAAGAAGTCGTCCAGCACCCTACTTCTGTCAAACACAAGAGATAGGACAAAATTATGCAAACGATACATATCATTAATTTGGTTGTACAAATTCAAGTTCCTGCAGAAAGTGTTGCAAATGTAGGGCTCCTACATTCCATGCCAATGTACCCCCATTATAAGAGTCACCCTCCCTACATTTTCCATCCTGATTTTGTGGGAAGTGCTCACTCAACTAATGACTTGAGCCTGGAAAAATAAAATAGTATGGAAATGTATTTTCCAGCATTCTTCTCCATTCTTTTTTTCTGGCGGAAACTATCGACTTAATTGAATCTAAATTAATGGCTTGTTCTGTGCAGCTTAAAACGCATTTTGAGTGAATAAAACATTTGCCAAAAGAACCGCCTGGCTCTGCTTCAGAGTGCTGACTTTCTCTGAGCACAACGTAAATGCTTTCTTATATTTTGGTTATTTCACAGCCAGGCAAACATCACAGATGCACCCTTGACAGACAAATCTCTGAGAAGTCAGAAATGAACAAACTGCAGTACTGTATGGAATTTGAAAGCAAGTTGGTCCATCAATCATAAAACTACTAATAGCTCCAACAGTCCCAATTTCCATTGATTTCACCCTTTCCCTAAATTTCCAGTTTCCCGGCAACATTCCCTATGCCCTTGTCTCCCTTCCATGGCCCCTCAGCTTCTGCCAAAGTGAGACTCAGTAACACATTCTGGGAACTGTGTGATTACTGCAGTACCTAGGCAGACAGTACAGACTTACAACCTGGCTAGCAAAAGCCTAAACGCAGATTATTGTTAAGCTTATGCTGCAGACAGTGGGGACACCTATTTTTGTCTCTCTCCCCCACTCAGCCTCCAGTTTTCATGTAGGAACTCAATTACCTTTGAGACTTTTATTCCTTGTCAGATCTGGCTGCAATTGTTCAGAAGTTATTAAGGATGAACCGAAAAGCAGATGGACAAACGGCTCAATCCTGTAAGCCTCCCTTCTTTAAGAAACCACACTAAAAACATCTTTATTCCAACAAATGAAAAAGCTCTGTTTTAATTTCCAGGATTTAATTTATTTTACTTTTAGATAAAACTAAAGAAATGGACTTCGCTGCAATACGTTCATGACTTTCTAAGTGATCACGGGTATCAAAAAGTGCAGGTTTAGGGCAACAGTAAGCCTGTGGAACAGATGGCAAAAAGAGGATGATTTTGGCAAGAAAAGCTAAAACTAGAACTGGCAGTTACTTTAGCTTCGTATTATGCAGACAAGGAATGGGAAAGCAGGAGGACAAAGGCGTGGTTGCCATTGTTTGCAGCTTCCCTTTTATGCCAGATGGAAAAAAGAAACGTCAGCACTGTCCACAGCATGTTTTAAGATGGTACTTAGATCTGCTCCCATTCATAAAATTCAATACTCAAGCAAATATGCTGGCAAAAAGATGTCTGTGTTCTAATACAATTATCAAATCTGATTTGGTGGGCTTCTGCTCACCATATGGGAGCCAGGCTTTCGGGTCTCTACCTCTTTCCTGTCTACCTCCTCTCCCAAGCCCGGGCAAAAGTGGGAGAAAGAGAGATCAAATATGAATGTGGTTGCAAACACAAGAACCCATTTAAGAAGATCAAAGTACACATACAGACAGTTCACAGAATTCTTTTATCAAGAAAAATTCAATCTGGTAATGATTTGAAAAGAAATGCAAATTATATTGAAGAACATGGAAACGTACAAATCAGAAGTAGTTACAGATAATATTTTGGTTCCCAAATTCGTATCAAGGTATTGAATAAAAATGTGTACACTGTTCATTACTAACCATTTCTTAAGTGCCACAACATTAGACCTACAAAATAAAACCTTTTCTCTATATGAATTCAACAAACGCACTATTTTGCTGTTCTGTCATACACGACTCTTTGATCACAGCGGAGTCCCTACAGTGAATGAACACCAACATAAAGAGGCCAAGAAACAGA